CACAGGAATGGTTACACAATCCCATTGCAGTGGATACCTGGACACTGTGGACTGGCAAGCAATGAGCTTGCTGATACTGAAGCAAGAGGCACTGTGCCTAACGCCCCCATTGACGTCAAAGTGCCATATTACAGAAGTGACGTGAAATCTTCATTGAGATCGCTCATGCGAGAGTGCACAACGACGGTCGCAGCCAGACTATCGGTACAGGCGTCTGCGAGATACAGACCCTAAGTTGACTTTTCGCTCCCGACTAACATGAAACGACGCAACTCTTGTATGTTACACCTGATTCGCCTGGGTGCCGCATTCACTCGCCGCTACACACACAGCTCATCCGCCGTGCGGACATCCTGAACAATGAACGTCGCTAAGTGTGCGAAATGACGGAGCATATCTTTGTGTAGCATCGAAAAACGCTCGATTCAACGCTGGCAGGCATAAGTGTGGCAACGCTTAGTGAAAGTTGCATTTCATCAGCAATGTATATTCAGACAAGTTCAAAAACTGCTATAAGGGCTGAGATAAGTTTCGTAATAAGTACAAGACCGGACACTAGACGTTAGCGAAGCCACAGTAATACGTCGTTATTGTATATATACATAACTTGTTCCTGTCCCCATCGTCACCCTTCATTACTTTTTTCCCACCTGTCCCCCTTCCCCTGTGCAGAGTAGCAGGCTAGAGCGAAGTAGCTCGGCACGACCTCCCTGCTTTCTAATAATTCATCTATCTATCTCTGAATTTTACGTCATTTCTAGACAATTTAAATGCCGACTGTTCTTATACCTAACTTCTCACCTACAAGCTGCGAAACTTCCAGTTTCGCAGCTTCTCGTCATCCGTTCAACGTATGTGTCCGACATAGCACGCTGATTCCTTTGTGCTCAGTTTAATGCAAATATTTCCTCTCAAGCATGGCTCGGGAACAATCCCGGATCCTCTGAAAAGCAACAAGCGTGAAATGCTTTGCGCAAGTTAAAATATGCAGGGCAGACTATAGGCGTTCCGTGAAAATTGTGGTATTACAGCGCGAAAAAAGCGGCCGTGGAAAACACAGGAGCAGACCATATACGCCCGTAGCCAGTAAAGACAGGGGGGTCTAAACTGGCCACCTCTCAAAAAAATTTCGATGGAGGGAAGTGCTTTTCGGCAAATGAGTGCCCCACCAGGTGCCCGACAAAAACAAGACACAGCGCTGTGTGTTCCCTGTCGAGTTTCTGCACTGTTACACCATACTGTTAAGAATTATTCGTAAACAAGGAGGACATAAGTACAACCAATCCACAGTTCTTCAAGTGCAGTACTTATACACGCACGAAGACAAATTGCAGAAAGAAATACATATGGGCAGACCCACTATATAGAAAGCACTGAGAGTTCGACCCATTTCAGTGTTCGGCGGCTTCTCTGCAATGTATATATATACGCCACGATGACGCAATTTTCAGCTTAATTGTCGATGCGACAGTCGAACGCGACGGACCGCAAATATTTCCTGTGTTCCCTCGAGTCGCTGGGTTACGAGCAGTTATGATGACAGGGACCTCGAACACGCAGCCCACATCAGCGGCTTGGAGCACACATCACTGCCATCGTCTGGTATTTTTTTTTTTCTTAATGAGGTGCACGTACGTGACTGACACGTACGTGACATTCACTTCGAGACGCACCAATTGCGGTAACCACGTCTTAACACGTAACCACGGAACAAGAACTTCATATTTGCGATTCGGTGTCCAGATTTGAGTGATTCTCGATAGCAGTATCTATACGCTTGCTTTAAACCTGAAGTCCGGTCGCCTCAAGAAATGAACCGAGTTTTGACTTTTTCTTGAAAGTGCTCCCCTCCTCTCGTTTCCTTCTCCGACCTTCACAGCCTTGTGACTGCGCGGCTCGCCTCTGAGGTGAACTTGAGACCACTGTGCAGTGCCAACATGTCCAGTCTTCAACCTTAGTACCCAGCTACAGACTGAAAGGTCGCGGGTTCAATCCCACACTCATGTACGCGCTTGAAGCGAAAATGCTAGAGACCCTTTAGGGGCCCGTTAAAGAACGCCAGGTCATCTGAATTCCCAGAGCCCTCCACTATACCCCATAATACTACCATGGTGCTGGTTTGCGAAATCCCCAGTAATTATTATTATCACAAAACGCATTGACAGTTTTCTTAATGCCAAAAATGTCGTTGCATTGTGTCCACGCTGACATTCTATGCAGCAATACTTTGATTTGGGCGAGTTGGAGCTCAGTGTCAATAGCTGCAGGAACACGGCGCCCCCAAAGGTCCAACCCATGTTGTGTTCCTCCGGCGATGTCCTCTTTGTTGCAGTGTGTTTCCCCATTATTAGCAGTGCGCCTTTTGACAAGGTAGAAAAACAAAAGCAAACAAAAAACACCGTCAAATTACTATTCAAATCCAGCAAGTATAGACCAGGCAGGCCAGCCAGCTGTTTTTCGGATTCTTAGGAGTTGCGGTATGCGTTAGTTGGGACGAAGGGTTCGTTGTACTGCTGCAAAAATTAAGCCAAACACAGCTACTATTGTAGTTAAAGAGACAGAAGCTCATAACTCTTGTGTGGTTTCTGTATTCTGCTGCTGTTGTTATTGCTGTTGTTTTGTTTGTTTTTTTCTCACAGGCGATACACTCGGCGTATTTTGTTGCTCTACTTCAATAAGCAGCGATATGAGGAAACATGGCCAACAGGCGCAGGCTAACGTAGTCTGTTTAATGTTTAAACTTATTTTAAGTTACAATTTCACGAGCAAATGTTGCTGAAATAAACGAGCTGGGACTTTTCTAGGTGGGGTAAGTTGCCGGACTGCCGCTTCTAAAAGACAACACGACGTCGTCGTCTCAAAGGCGCCGCATATGCATCTCAAGAATGTAGACAACGTTTGGTTCATACCGTTTTTGCTGCTCACGCTGCAGATGGCACCGTCGTGTAGAGTTAAGACATGACGCATTTGCACACCCGCTCGTTACTGTATCGATCTGTTCTCACTAATGAATGAATGGGCGCCATCTTTGCATCCCGCGCGAACACTGCTCGAGGAACAAATCGACTTTCCCTCTTTAACGCTTTTTTCCTTCTCGCTTTCATCAAACTCGAGGAGCCTCGTGCTGTCACCTTGCAAATTTCCCTGAAACTCTGAAACCAGCTCTCAACACAAGTTACAGTGCATTAGAAGAACGCCTTGAATAGGTTCTTTTTTGACGTATGCCACTTTCACAGCGATTCTTGTCGCACCCCTCCTCCCTCCGCTGTGCGCCCGCCTATGCTTCCGCATAACAAGCACCACAACGAGATCCTACGGAAAAATCGCACCAAACGTTGGGTCAGCGAGGAATCATTCTTGTTGTTTTTATTGTTGAATTAGCCTCTGCGGAAATATCGCCGCCATATTTATCACCTGGTGAAGGTGGTTTCGTTAAAAACGCATTGAAGCCAATGCGACATGAACCCACTAATATCTTGATGCGATTCACGAAATATCAACTCACATTTCTCAGTCTCATCTAAAAGTTGGTGACAAAGTACAAACTTCAATACCGAAGAAACTGCTGTACTTCAAGCAACCGTTACAAGTTGCAAAAATGTCTTGAGGGCTATACCTTCTGCGTGCGAGATTCGTTCTGCTTATATTTTCGTGGCACTATTTGCCGGTTAAAATAATGAATACGTTACATTACTGAAGTTTGCGAATATTTGTTTCAAGTAAGTACGTCGCTGAATTCCAGGGCTCCTCTGAAAACGCTTGCCTTACTATTCGAAAACTATGCGAACAGTGTTCTGTCCGGTTCAGAGAGTTCGAGTACTCGGCCGCAGTTACTAATCTCCTTGCGCGTTGCCCCTCGAAGATTAACAGGCGTCGTAGCAGACAAACGTTGCCGATTCGCGCGTGCCATCTCGACTTCGGGTGCTTCAACCGCGCCGCGCAGCCGTTTCTTACTCGGCTCGTGACATAGGCTCCTCGCATGCAATGACCAAGGTCGATACCGCTCGCAACTAGGGTTGATGAAATAGCGCCCTTTTCTCAGCCAAGGAGGATGTGTGCGCTGGCAGCTGCACATGCACACTACTGCGTCCAATGAAGATCACAACCTCAATTTTCCACAGAAAGGGAAACAGTACGCGACGGAGCCTCTACAGCACGTAGTATGCTGTAATTTTAGCGCGCAATCATCGTTTAAAGTCGCGCTGTCTATATTATATGGGCATGCGCGCTTTGTTCCATGCGCCTTAGGATGTGCATAGAACAAAGATGTGCATAGAACAAGTCACGCGGAGCTCAGCGGCTACGAGTAAATCCTTGCTGGATCTCTGGTGAATTGGCGAGTCAGCACCGCTGTGGCCTTCCGGCGGTGTACGAGAAATCGCTGACGCCAGGTCAATGACGGGGCTTCTTAGGAATCCTATAGTTACTGGATCTTCCATAATCCCGTCTAGCACTTACCCCTTTATCCTTACTGCACACAGAAAGCATCACCACAACTGATCTAGCGCGTTTCTCGGCGTTAGCACTGTATGATTGATATAGCGGTAAATTTTCGGTAGCACTAAAACATGGTCCTCATTGACGCACGTCGAGGTCACAGCTAGCCAGGCTACTACGTTTCCTCTCATGTTAGAGGCGATCGCCCCCGGTTACCAAACATAGGTAGAAGCATAGCAAAAACGCAGTAACAAAGCCAGAACACTTAGAAACCGTCGAGCATTCGGGGTTACATGGTACATTCTCGGTGGTGTGCTATTAGCTATGCACTTCCTAGCACTGCACTTGAAGAGAGACGCAAGGTCAATGGCACGTCGCACGCTCAGAGTGGGATCTGGTTTAGGAATATGATGGCGTCAAGTCCTCGAGAGCCGTGGCTGTAAACAAAAGCGCCAATCACTCGACGAAGCCATAGCGAGGCGCCGAAAAGGCGACTCGGTCAATAATCGCACGGCCGGAAGAGATGCCCATTCATTCGGCATCGAGGAGGAAAAGAAACTCACCGGGCGCCGTCTGCCAGCTCAGGCCCCCGATGAACATCTTCCTGCAAAACAAGAGAGGGGGGCGTGTAAGACGGGAGATGTGGGCGCGCGCGCGCCGTCACGGACCCTGGGTCGTGGGCCGCCTCCGTGGGGCTGGCCGGGTTGGTGGGCTGGCTGTCGTTTTCCATGATCATGGTCACTAAAGGGAGCGCTTGGTTGCGATACGCTACACACTACGGACACACTCTGGCCGAGCAGACGACGCACAGATGGCACGACAACAATCGCAGGTGCTGGGCTACGCTAAACGACTCTTTTGGCTCGGCCGTACACTACGCGAACATGGCCCTCTGCGCAGGCCTCGACTGAGAACACGCACGACGACGCTTTTGGCTTTCCCCGCCGGAGCGCCGCAGACGCGCAGAGGGCGCCGCGCGCGCCCACCGCGAAGCCTTCGCTGGGCCACGCTATTGGTTCGCCGCGCTGGTCGCCACGTGACGTAATTCGCCAACGTCACACTTTGCGCATTCGCTCTCACTGCACCGACTCTCGCCCTCGGCTGGAAATAGTGAGCGCCTCCGGCTGCCTGCCGCAGCGGCGACATCTTCGGGCCGGCTGAAGAAGCGCGCGGCGGCTTCGACAGGCGGCGTTTCCGCAACGATCGTCGCCCCGCTTTTGTTTGCTTCCCGACTTGTGAAACTTAATTACAATGAGAAGATACTCGGTGCGGGAAAAGCAGGCGCCCTCTTCTGTAGTTCGCTTTCAGCCGCGTCGGAAATGAATGCTTTTCGAATAGAGTTATCGCCGGCTTGAATGCGCACGCGCGCCACAACATCAGCGCCAGTTGTCTTCGCAGCATAGGTCGGCAAAACTTGAGGAGCTCACTCAGACTCACTCATGCAGTATATTTCAAGCTTTGGACTCACTCGGACTCGTGAAAATTTTCTTCAGCTGGACTCACTTGGACTCACGGCTCGATCTGAGTCCAAATGAGTCAGCCTAGAATTAGCTTCCTAGTTCACCTGCTGTGAACGCCCTTTAATACCAATATATCACGTGATCGATGCTGTTCTTGGTGCTGCTTGAAGTGAGTCGACTCATGAATTTGTTTGCCGACCTATGCTTCGCGGGTCGCCTCCGTGTTAAGGAGAAATCCCGTACGTACCCCTGCGCCTCAAAAAGAAAGCGCGCCCAGCGGTCCCGCTGATTACCCAACTTCCGAGCACTCGGTAAATGGGGTGAGAATTTATTGAGTGTTGTCGACGTAATCCTAAGGCAGGGATAGAAACGCGGTAAACGCTCATAATCGGCACACTCAAACTGCGCATTTGCTCAACTCCACAGCTGCACACTTTCTCAGCCACGCAGACTTTCTCTTTAGAAAAAATTATTTACAGCATGTACAGAACACAAATGCTTCATAACATTACAGTAACAGGGCACATACACTTTGTCACATCTACGTATCACGACCAACATCACTACGTTGCAGTGAAGACATTTGCTCTTATATACATGACAATGCTGGCGTACATGTACACAAGAACTTTCTGTGTTTAGAAAAAAATAGTTAACGGTTTAGAGCACAAGTGCTCTCTATAAGAGAGCTGTGTGCCGTCCCGCTCTCCACGAACACTAGAGCCAGTCTACTAGACCGAACAAGAATAACTTTCTGTACGCCAAGTGCACACTCCTAGAGGCACCTGAGACCGTGAACTATTTAAAAAAAAGACATTTTACGCTGGTCCACCTCTATTTCCGCTCACGTGAACATTTTCTTTTGCCTTGCGACATAAAATACGATGGTCAGCATACTGGAAAAACTTTCTACTAATGGTGAAACGCTTCGTGAATCCCACACAATCTCCTAGTTATACCTGATAGTCTACGTCGCATGAGCGAAAATAAAGATGAGTATCAGGAATAAAAGTGGCCAACTATGCAGTCCTCCTCGGCACTTCAGGAACACCAAAAAAGTTACGGTAATAATGATTATAATTTTGTTTTTACGACCGAAAACTAAAACATACGTCTGAAAACACCGACACCATTACAAGGAGCGCCATACTGAAGAGCTCCAGAAATTTGAATCAACTGAGCACCTTAATCGAAGAACAAAGCATTTTGCCATGCGGCCGTCACGCTCGGTATTCGATCCCGCCACCTTCGGGTCAACAGTTGAGCATGATAATCTTTAAAACACCATAGCGGGGAGAAAATAGGATGCTCCACGTTTTATACTTGTCCGAGTCAACGCCAATCCAAAATAGGCGTACGGCATTTGGCTCCTGCCAATGTTGCTTCACTGAGAGTACAGCGACGTTGTGGTATAGCCCAAGGTCAAAAACCGGAAAACGCGCCAATTTTTTTCTTGCTTTAATTCATTTACCACAGTTCCAAGAATTGAAGAAGGCAAAGATGACTAATAAAATAAGCACTGTGGCCAATGTTAACACGCTTGTTTCTAAACAAAAAAAAAACAGAGACTGATGCGTCACCAAGTTAGGGAAAGTGATAGCGCTTAACACTTGAATTAACTGTAGAATCATAGGTGCTAGTATAGCCTCACTAGAATTCATGATATAGAGAAAAAGCTAATAAATGTGTAGCTACAAAGAAAGGTAACAATGCAATACAGAAGTGGTTACGCCACACTTGCCTGATCTTGAATGTATGAAATAAACGAAGGTAAAGTACGAGGGATGGCAAATGGTATATGATGAGTGTCTCTATTTTAGCTTTCGATGGTCAAAATACTCACGTGAAAAACCGAGGCACAAGAATCACCTAACGAATAATTATATTGTGCGCACCGCGCTTTATGTGCAACGCAGTGAGATGAAAAAAACAATCAAACAGCGAGAAACATACACGAGAAAAATGAAAAAAAAGGCAGAAAAAGAAAACGTACACGCTCTTAGCGTAAAGATAAAAGAAAGCTACAGCATTTAACAGTCGAGAGGCGCCTTTCTCGGCTCTATAAAACACATATTCCGAAGCTTGGCTCGATGCACATCTTTACGTAATGATCTGCTCATATAATTAATTAAATTAATCATTAATTTCTCAGTTGTACCTTACAGTATTTCGATAATCGCTGTGGGACGCTTGTATACACTGGCTTAAAACATGTATGATGCACGGTTAAACCCGGGCTATCCTTCGGGTTACCGGTACGGGGCACCATGACTCCACGACGAACAAAATCCGGGTAATTACCCAACTATTAGGAAATTTCGCATATATCCAGTCTTTCACGGAATATTTTATGACATATGCACCACATTGTTGCTGTTAAAACTCTAACATAACATAATTTAACTAAACTATTGATCTAACAAAGACATTTCCATTGACCAGTGAGTACCCACACAATTAGATGCTGTCCTTTTGCCTAATCGACAAAAGCAGTTTGGCTCCAAACCCTGTTTGACAATGTGTTGTCCTTACGCCCAGTCGACAAAACAAGCTCGCCTCAAAACCCTTCTTCAACAATGTATTTTCTTCAACCTGCAAATAAATTACACAGATATTCTTGTAATTTTGACATAGACAATTTTTCCTTCTATCAAATCACAGCGCGTATCTCCCTTGGGACGACGATAGGTTTATTTTGAAGAAGCCGCACGCAGCACCCGGAGCAACGGACTCAACTGTCGCCAGTGGTCAGTTATTTCATGCTTTATATGCGAAAGATGGCATTGTTCGTCTCTTCGCCAAATTCTTGCTTGTCGGCCTGCTCACAGAGTGATCACTGACATCTCCGGCTCAGCGCAGCGGCAGCCCGTCACCTGACCTGGTCTGCCCCACCCGCACATAGGAGGCTCCACGCTGAGGCCACCCAACGCAGACTTTTCACACGTGAAGGCATGGGTTAGAGTGGCGACCATCATAGCGCCCTATAGCTTTTGGGCGTCGCCATACGACAAACTTTTTGTATTTAAGCACTGATAAATGGCTGTCCTCGTTTCACTTTCATCCCGATTGAACAATTAACAATTACAGCGCGGTCACAGCGTTGTGAAGTGTACTTTTAACTCAATTTCTTTAATATATTGTTACGAGGTATGGTGCATGGGCTCGCCATGGCAGACGAGGAAACGAACTATAGGCTGGTGTGCCTCGCGAGTTTCTAGCAGCTATATACTCCATGACACAGTTGCTTGTAAATATTCTAAAAGTACTCGCTTCTGTCTCTCTTGCATACTCGTCATCCCCGCGACAGAATTACGCTGCGAGCTAACGACTTCGCAATTTCAAACTGCTGCAATCCACATACTAATGCACTTCATCTACACGATAACATCTATAAAATTCCTATGAGAATGTAACGTCGTTGAAGACATCAATCATGTCCTCTGTGAGTGTACCAATTACGCATCAGAGCGACAGTCTCTGAAGATGGGCTTAAATATGCAACAGGACAAAAAATTGGAGTTAAAAAATATTCTGGGCTCATGGCAGAACACATCCAGTGCGTTACATTTTACAAAAGCGCTACCGACGTTCTTACGAGCCACAGATTTGAACGAAACGTTGTAAATAGTGCAGTGCGTCTGAGTGACTTTATGTGTTATGTGACTGTTATGCGTGTATGTAACTGTATGTGTTGTAACTGTATGTTTTTTTATCATTGTAAATATCACTGTGATCACCCGACAACTGGAGTAGCCTGTCAGGTGAAAAACCAGGCAAACCTCTCCAGCTACCCATTAAGTTCATTCTCTCTCTCTCTCTCTCTCTCTGATGAGACAAATACAGGGTATACCAAAAGGTCTACGGCGAAAGAACAGCAAATTACAAAGTACTTACAGTTGGGTACAAGACGATTTCAATATTACTCGAAATACACAAAACAACTGCTACTAACAAACAGTGCCTGGGAAATATTTTATTAGGACGTGCATACTATGGCCAGCTCGCCAGCACAGCAAAGTGAAGATTGGTGGATTTGTAGACACCGTGACTGCGCGTTGGACCAATGCATGAACACTTCAGAGACCCATTTCAATGGCTCGTCACCTGACGCACAAAGCGAAAGCGGTGATGTCGTATTGACGCGCTTGTTTAGGCGAGGCCAGTGTCGTCGCGGGATGAGCCAGTTGACAGCGACGTCAATTGGATGGGCCCTTTGTTTTGTCATGTCACTCGCCTTCATTAGAGGCAAACAACTTCCGCGACTAACGCCACCTGCCGCTGAGAAACGGTGCTTCTGAGTGGCCGTGCGCGCTGACCCGCAAACGCACAGTGTGGCATCCCGGCGAAACAAGTAGGAAATTTCGTGCCCCCCTCCAACTCAGCCGAAAAGCGCGCTGGAAATCCACGAGAAACTGAAAGTGGTGCCCGCACGAAGTCGCCCTTTGAAATGAGCCCCTGTTTTCTTCGATACGCGTCGATTAACAACGCTTATTTGTTTCACAA